TACATCCATTCTGTCAGTTTCTGCCCCATCACCCGCCCCAGGACTTCTGGGTGGTTCCCCAGGCTCCATCTTGATGCAGATTTTTCCTCCCCTGCAGTCTAATTTCCCCTATTGTCTTAGGACAGCTCCATTAGCATAGTTCACTGATGAAAGCTAACATTTGATGCAGTTTTTGCAAAGTCACAAATGCCCTGTCTAGTTCCATTGTTAGGTAGCTATGGGATGGAAAAAAAAGTAGGAAATGTAACTGTGGGTAACGTGTGATCAAGGGAGTCCCATTATCTATTTTTCCCAGGCGAGTTCTGTATATACCTTTGTTTTCTTTAAATGTTTCTTTGACATCTTCTTTCTCTGTGTTTTCTGGAAGTATGGGTGTGGCTGGCTTTGTCCTTTCACCTGGAAACAGAGACATGAACTTGAGAACCTGGAGAAAGGCATCGAAACACAGATACTCTCTGAAATCCTACCAGGTTCAAGGTGGAGTGCCAAAAGGCAGTAGGGAGTGCCAAAATGGCAGCCCTATGCCATTTATAGACACAGAACAAGGGTAGACTTTGCTGGGATAGAGGTTTAATTGTCTTTTTCTTTCTGGTGAGGCTCTTGCCCCAAGAATCACGTACTGTAACAACCAGCTGGTGGTTGGCATCAAGGCACATACTGTAAGCAGGTGCTAAGGGGAATAGTCAATGACTCATTTCTAGGGCCAAACATGATCAGTTTGGCCCATTTGTTTAAACAGATGAGCTATTCCTTTCATATTGTCAGTCATGACAAGTAACATCTCAAACTGAATTTTGAACGGTTCCTTTTCAGCTTTGAGAGAAACAGACAACGTTAGAGAACAAGGGTAGACTTTGCTGGGATAGAGGTTTAACTGTCTTTTTCTTTCTGGTGAGACTCTTGCTCCAAGAATCACGTACTGTAACAACCAGCAGGTGTTTGGTATCAAGGCACATACTGTACGCAGGTGCTAAGGGGAATAGTCAATGACTCATTTCTAGGGCCAAACATGATCAGTTTGGCCCACTTGTTTAAACAGATGAGCTATTCCTTTCATATAGTCAGTCATGACAAGTAACATCTCAAACTCAGTTTTCAACGGTTCCTTTTCAGCTTTGAGAAAAACAGACAACGTTAGAGAGCGAGACTCTCCATGACTCGCCATGGCTGGATATGGCATATACCTGTTTAAATGTTCTGGGTTAGCAATGATCTCTCTGTTGAATAATCTGGACTAAAGATCATACAGTTCTAAACCTATGAAGAAGGGCTGTGAAATAGCCCAAATTAGCCCAAACCTCAAAAGACAGGCTTACCTCCCAGCCCCGTAGAAGGAACTGTTGGTTCCACTGTGGCAGAAAGAAACAAAAATGAAAATAATAACTACATTTCCATGCTGCCTTAATGAAATTGGCCAGATCATGGCATCCAGTTATTTGCTCACTCAGTCACCAATAAACGGTCTTCGTTATGAAGTTAGTCAATAGGATCACTTGGGCACGAAGAATAGCCCTCCCCCAGCTTTGCTTGTGCACTTTTTTCTTTTTTAAAAAGTATTTTGAAATTTTTAAATATGAGGATTTCCAAATATACACAAAAATAGAAAGACTGGTATAATGAACCTCTATGTACCACCGTTAGCTGCAATTCTTATCAACATATGGCTAATCTAGTTTCAGCAATAATCCTTCCCCACTACACTCAGGCCTGGGTTATTTTAAAAAAATCCAAGACGTCTTAACAATTCCTATTGGGATGCTTTAGAAAGCAAGAGACAATGATCTCCACACAGTGGAACTAGTTGGGGGGCTAAGTAGTCTACTGGCCAGCCCCGAGGTAGAGGCTGGTGGTCTAGAACTGAGTCATTTGACATATTTCAAAGAACCTGAGGAAAGTCAGGTTGCACAGACAGCTTATGGCCAATGTGTGTACCCTCTTCTGGCAGTCACTCTCCGATGCCAACCCGATGGTCTGGGGCTCATGGGGGTGGGGTCCTCAAGGGCAAGATTTTAGAATTCACAGTCCTAAGGCCAGGATGTCAAAGTGATTCAGAGAGAAAACTTTTAATCGTCTTCTCATCAGTTCAGGAATTTATAGAGATGACTCAAATCCATTAATTTATTAAAAAAACATTTATACAGTGCATGTCATCTGACAGAAATATCATCATGTTCTAAGTGTTTTCTAAGACAAACAATTTATCCTGAAAACGGCCTCATGAGGTAGGTGCTATTATTACTCTGATTTCGTACACGAGGAAGCCAAGGTACAGGGAGATTATATAACTTGACCAAATCCCTCAGCTATTAAGTAATAGCTGAACTGGGATTTGAAACAATAAATTCAAATAAAAATTAAAATCATAAGGAGACAAACTGTGCTAGGTAATGAAGATGAAATAGCAAATGAGAAATAGTCCCATCCTTGGAAATATAGGACAATATTAATAGATATTGATAAATAAAAATAAATGTTTTAATATTAACAACTATTTTTAAAAATTTTGTAATGTTACATTATAATACAAAGTATACTCAATAACGTTACATGATCTGCTCATTTTCCTGTCTTTCTGTGGTTTAATCCACTGTGCAAACCTGCAGCAGTCAGCATATTTACGCAGCATTTGCTCCAGTCCTGCAGTGTGTCTGCAATGCATCGCCTGTGACGAATTGTCTCTGGTTTTCACTGAACTTGCCCCTGCCTTTAGCATGCCCGGAAGTAATCAAGTGAGCAGATCCGGCTAGTATGCCCCCTGCTCTATGTGGCCATGTTGTCAAATGCAGTTTGGGATGTTATTCAATCAGTCCCTTGCCACCCTGGCATAAGGAGTGGTGTGCCACCCTGTCTGAACCACACTGGGTGAGCTTTCCCTAATCCACCAAGTGCAGGGATTACTTGGTCAAACGTGTGTATTTCCAGACCTCATGCCAAACATGTAGGGAGGGAGCCAAACTTGTAAATAGGCCGTTAAAGTAATGGGTGTGTGAGGAGCTATGATCCTCATGGGAGGATCACCTAACCTAGTTTGAGGGGCCCTGGAAGGTTCCCAGAGGAAATTATCATTTTTTAAAATTTATTATTTTGAAGTAATTTCCGATTTATAAAAATTTGCAAGAATAGTACAAATAATTTTCATATATTCTCCACCCAAATGTTATAATCTTATCATATGTCATTTATTTACTTATTCTCTTTAATCTTTCTCTCTCTCTCTCTCTCTCTCTCTCGCGCGCGCGCGCTTTCATTGCTCTGAAAGGTGACCTGCTAAGACAGCCTCCAACTTTGCAGTCACCTGCCTAAGACAACTTTGCATGGGACTTAGGGAAATAGCTTTCTGGGAAACATAATTCACTTGAGAGGGTGGAAAGAAAGAAAAGAAACCTTTTAGCAGAAAAAGCATAGTCCAATTCAAACAATTAAAAGATGATAGGATTACTTAGTAACCAACTAGAACTAAGTCATTCTCCTATCGGGAAAGGATACAGAATTGGAGCCAAGCAGTTGGCTTCATGGAGGTGAGAAACTTGAGGGACAGATCAGAACTCACTTCAAGTTTAGATCCAAGCCAGTTATAATGGAGGCGTGTGGGAAACTCCAGCACAATGAGACTACAGTCTTAGAGTCCAAACCCTTGACAGACCTAGGAGCAAGTGCCCATTGCATTTGCAAGGTACATATAGAGGGTGGTCTGGGAGGTCAAGCTCATCAATGTGTCTACTCTTTGCCCTAAACCAGAGAAATTGGTGTATTTTATCATCTACTGCCTCGGGTCACAATTCTGTTTCCTGAAAGCCCCAGAAAATAATCTCACATGGCTGTTAGAAGACTTGTAGGAACAATGGCCAGTTTCTTTTCATATTTCTTCTTTATTTCAAGCTCCTACAGCCAACATCACATGTGGAAAGAATAAGAATTTGTAAGTGTCCACTTAGAGAACTTTTTGTTTCCGGAAGTTCTCATAATTCTTGCTTTATTGTACATAAATTAGACCCTTTCTTTGCTTCATCCCTCTCTTAGCATCGATACCCCTCTCCTTTGCTAGTGCTATTCCTCAAGGAGGAAGGCTCTCTACATTTCCCTTTCCAAGGATTCCCAATGTTGCACATTGCTGGCATGTGCAACACACTTTCTTGGAGACCACATAGTAAATTCTTGGAACCAGCAAGCTGCTCATGAAATGAGAGAGGAAGTTGAGAGATTCAGCCACCTAACTTGGGAGAGGTTCATTACCATCGGAATATTTGCAAATGAAATTGTTCTTCATGTTGCATCGGTCGTCATTCCACTGGAACATATAGGGGCCCCCGATGCCGGTGGGTGCAGATGGCTGATGGTACATGACTACGCAGACCTCGCTGCCACAGGAAGGCTCATCCACATACCAGTTCCTGTAGGAAAGGGGTCAACAGTGGAGGCAATTGGAGAAGAATACCAGCAGCCTTCAAAGCCTTTGTTTGTCCATCAAATCCTACTGAGCCACGAACTTAAGACTCTGCTTCAAGAACACAATACAGAAAAAGGGAGGAATTGAAGTACCGCCAGGCTTTCTAATATGGACAGCACAATCAATCACCTGACATTTGCCACAACCTTTTTGCAGGAAGGAAGGAATATATTACCATATGATTTCTGCGAAGTAATTATGGGGAAAAAAAACAGCTAGCAGCCCATTCTGAACAATCTTATTTATGGCTTGCTTTTCGATAACTGGGTTTGTTTTTCTTCTTTTATAAGTCAGATGTGCTGAGAAGAGGCATGACTCATCTCATGTCCTCCTCCCATCTCCTCACACTTTTTAATTGGCCATAACTGACTTTTCCAGCCCTGGGAAGACTTTCCAAAATATAGAGGCTGTCAAAGCAGGTGAGGGGGTGGGGACAAGAGCAGAGGGCCCACATAGTCTCCCGTTGTTTCCTGCTCCTCAGGCTGATGAGCCCCTGGGTTGGCCTTCACTGCTAGCTTTCTTGTCTTGGTCTCCCTGGCTCCTGGGTAGGATGCATGAGCAGCCTCAGCTTCATTATCCAGTGCTACTTGGAATTAAATGGCACTGCCATCCAGCTGGATACGTGGGTGCCAGGTTTTGGATTTCACAAAGCGTCGAAGTGCTCTGAGCACCCACCCCATGCACTGGCCATGGGCTGGCTCTAGTCTACCTAATTACGCACCTGAACTGTCCCCTTCCAGCACTCAGAGCTTGCCCTGATGCTCAGATTATTACTGGGCCCTGCGGCTCTGCCTACCCTTATCAGAGCCTCTCCTTAGGAAACAGCTATGAGTCAGGTCACCTCACAGCACCCCATTATGGCTCTGCTCAGTGTTGTATTCCATCCACCAAAAGGAAGACCCTTTGCTGCACCCACTGGGTTTTATGAGCCTGGACAATAGCTGGCATTGCAACACCGCTGGATACTATGCCTGGATCCTCTGCTTCTCATTAGTTACCTCCAGGCCATTTTCCAACTCTGTGGGTGGGCCTCCTACACTGACTTGCCATTGGCCTTATGGCTTTCCACTGGCCTTATGGCTTTGTGTTATTTCATCTCACAGGTGATAGACTAGATGGAATGTTATACCTGACACCTGGTTTCAAGCTGAGCCCTCTCTGATAGAAGGAGAGGCTAGGTTCCAAGGAGGAAGGACCCTGCAACACCATGGCAGGTGCATGTGGTGATCATCTCCTCTGTTCTCCCAAAGGGGCCTACAGCCATTTACTCAAGTAGCCATGCACTGGGAGAAGAGGAAACCCAACTATTATGGAGCCTGCTGGACACGAGGTGCAAGTCGACATTGATGCCCAAAGACTCGAAGTGACACCAAGGCTGCACATTAGAGTGGGCGCATACTGAGGTCAGGTATCAAGTGAAATTCTGGCCCAGGACCAGCTCACAGTGGGACCCATCCAGTGCTCATTTTCGAGTCCCCAAATCTACAAATTGAAAGCCTATGGCTTTCATAGCAGAGAAGGTCAAGTGGAAGCCTTTGAAACTGCACTCTTCCCAACCCGCTTCAAGATAGTAAGTAAACACAATATCTTATCCAGGAGAAGATGACAGAAAGTAGTGGCATCCCTAAAGACTTAGAGAATGCAAGGATGGTATTCCCCATCACATCTCTGTGTAATTCACTAGTCTGCAACAAAGCAGGCAGGTCCTGAAGGAGAAGACTGGAGTAGTGTAAACTGAACCAAGTGGAAGCCTCAATTGCAGCTGCTTTGCCGTATGTGGTAACTTTGCTACAGCAGGTTAACATGCCCTTGGTACCTAGTATGCAGATCTGGTGAACACATTTTTTTTCATCTTTATCAGGGAAAGAATCAGAAACAGTTTGTATTTATTTGGAATAGACAACAGTACACACTCTAGTCTTCCCTCAGGGCTACACTAATTTTCCTGCCCTCTGTCCTAATGTGGCATGAAGAGACCTGAGCAGCCCAGACATCTTGCAGAAAATCATGCTAGCCCATTACATTGCTGATATGCTGAGTGAAGCAGATGAGCAAGAAACAGCTAATAAATGGAGGCTTAGTAAGATTCATGTGCTCCATGGGTTGGAGCTAAACCTTATGACGATTCAGGGACCTGCCACGTCATGAAAACGTATAGGTGTCTAGTGATCTAGGGAATGCCAGAACATCCCTTTCAAATGAAAGGATTTAAAGCAGTAATTTGAAGCATCTTGCAATAACTTGAAGAAGGAACCATGGCATTAGTAGGTCTCTTTGGGTTCTAGAAGCATATTTCACACCTGGAAATACAGCTCTGGCCCCCAAACCAGCTGATGCAAAAGACAGCTGGCTTTGAGTGGGATCTACAGCCAAAAAGGACCCTGAAGCAGGTCTAGGCTGTGGTGCAGAGACTTACCACTTGGGCCATATGATCAAGTAGACCCTATTATTAGAGGTATCAATGGTGGGAAAAATAATGCCATGTAGAATTTGTGACAAGCCCCAATGAGAGAATCACAAGGCAAACCCGTAGGATTCTGTAGCAAGGCCTGTCATCTATAGCTGAGAAAGAACCACCTGGCTTGCTACTATAAAAAGAGCACCAAGAGATCATTCAATCCAACTTGCCCATCATGAGTGAAGCGCTGTCAGACACACATAGTCACAGGCCGGGCAGGCCTGGAATCAATCCATTATAGACGGAAGATACATATGACTGAAGGGCATTGTATGAGTAGGGCAAAGAGCACTGTATGAATAAGCAGAGCAGACTGCCATGACATCTACCACTGTTGTACTAGTGTCTCTTTCTCAGCTTACACCTATGGCTGTAGAAGGGAATCCCTTGCGTCAACTAGCTGATAGAGGCAGCCTGAGCTTGGTTTGTGGATAAGTCAGCCAAATATGGCGCACAGCTCCAAATGGATAACAGCTACACTACAGCCCCACTCAGAGGTGGTCTTGAAAGGTCAAGTGTTAAGGGGACATCCTCCCAATGTCCAGAGTTTTGTTGGTAGTTAGTGGAGGTTAGAAGAGAGAAGGACTCAGGGGTAAGGCAGAGAGCTTGGCCAGCTGATCAGGGGTAAAAGCTTTCTAAAAGGAGAAAGAGTAGAAGATTGGGGACAAGGAGCTATTGGATAGAGTGTTATGACTAGACATATGGGAATAGGCATAAAGTATGAGACTCTGTTATATGTTAAAGCCCACCAGAAAGTATCTAGCATGGAAGAGACCCTTAACAACGAGGGATACAAAATGACTTGGCCAGTTGACGTCAGCTGGTCTGTTGTCAGCTGCCCCAGTGCTGGTGCAATAGCTACACACTAGAGTAGCCATGGTGGCAGGGATGGGAACTGCATGGGCTCAACAGTATCGGTCCACACTCTCCAAGGACCATCTAACCTGCCGGCAATAGAGACCAATGCTAAGTCCCTGAGAGAGTACCAACCCGAGGAGACCAGCAAGTTGACTACAATGGACTCCTTCCAGTGACTCATTTTGACAGGAATAGACACACAGCCTGGGTGTGGGTTTGCCTTTCCTGCCCCAGGGCCTTAGTCAGCATCACTATCCAAAGGGTTACACACACAGTATTTGATCTACCAACACCGTACCCCAAGTGACATCTCATCAGACCACACGATCTACTTTATAGCAAAGAAGTGGGAGTAGGAACCTCGCCATGGGATTTGCTAATCATCTCATATATTCACTATCCTGAAGCTGCCAGCTTGACAGAGTTATGGAAGAGCCATTGAAAACAAAGCTTGAAGCACTAGCTTAGAGGCAATACTTTGTGAGAACAGGGCATCATCCTCCAAGATGCAGCGTACACTTTGAGTCAATGACCTTTGTATCATCCTGTGTTCCCAAGAGTAAGACTACATAGGTCTGGGAGCCTAAGGATAGAAACAGCTCCCAGTGATCTAGGGAATGCCAGAACATCCCTTTCAAATGAAAGGATTTAAAGCAGTAATTTGAAGCATCTTGCAATAACTTGAAGAAGGAACCATGGCATTAGTAGGTCTCTTAGGGGTCTAGAAGCTTATTTCACACCTGGAAATACAGCTTGGGCCCAAAAACCAGCTGACACAAAAGACAGCTGGCTTTGAGTGGGATCTAGAGTCAAAAAGGACCCTGAAGCAGGTCTAGGCTGTGGTGCAAAGAGACTTACCACGTGGGCCATATGATTACTATCACTGGTAGTGGCCCAGTTGGAGAATTTTATACTTATTGTCTCTGCAATGCTGGGCTTTGTGAGTGTAAAGGTCCTGGGACCCAAAGGGTACCCATTAGAAGATACAGCAAAAGCCTTATTGGACTATGAGCTTTGGCTGCCACCTGGGCACTGTGGGGTCCCTGTGTCCAGGGACCAGCAGGTAAGAAGAAGACGATTATCTTGCCACGAGTTAACTCAGCCTAATCATGAGGAGGAAGTACTTCTGCTATTCCACATTATGAGCAGAGAGAAATATGTATGGCACCCACATAACTGTAATTTTGCTACTGTCAACAATATGTGTTTATATATAAACAATATGTAATTATATATGTGTTTTCCGATGGTCTTAGGCGACCCCTGTGAAAGGGTCGTTTGACCTCCAAAGGGGTCGAGACCCACAGATTGAGAACTGCTGTCTTAGATGAAGATGTGGATCTGATCAGTATAATCGGTAGACTTTGATAGATGTTGACATGCTGTCTTAAATGTAATGGGTAAAGAAGATATATTTTAACTTTCATTCTTTTTATTGATAATGAGTTTAAACATTTTTATCATATAATTGTTTACCAGTTAGACTTTGTATTTTCTGAAATGTTTGCTTAGGTCCTTTGCCTCTTTATCTTTTGGGGTTTTATTAACTTACTAGAGGCCCAGTGCACAAAATTCGTGCATGGGAGGGGGGTGTCCCTCAGCCCAGCCTGCACCCTCTCACAAACTGGGACCACTGCCTCCTAAATTCTCGCCTGCCTGCCTGTCTGATCACCCCTAACCACTCGCCTGCCTGCCTGATCACCCCTAAACACTCTGCCTGCTTGTCTGATTGCCCCTAACTGCTCGCTTGCCTGCCTGATCACCTCTAACTGCCTCTGCCTCGACCCCACCACCGTGGCTTTTTCGGGAAGGATGTCTGGAATGACGTCTGGAAGGTCGTTCAACTGTCTGGTCTAAGTAGCATATTATGCTTTAATTATTATAAATGTAAACTTTCAGTGTTTTATTGACTTTTATATAAACTCATAAAAATATACTCTTAGTTAAATTTTCTACAATTTTTTCCAGTCTTATGTCTACCTTTTAATTTGATATTTTTTTTTATGTTTGTCCATGTCACTGCATTTCTTGGGATGGGGGTGGAGGCGATGGCAACACCATGGTGCCAGGGGAGGGCATGGGTTTAGGAAGGTTCTATAAACTGCAGGCTCCCTTAAGCCCTCTCTTGCCCAATCCATAGAATTAGATCTTGTCTCTGATTTCTTGCCCATCATTATGATTCCCTGTGGTCTGGAAATCTACCTTCAGTCTTAGCCCCATAGACCTTCCATCTCTCACTGGAGCTCTAGTCTGAAAAGCCAGGGAGCCAGAATGATTGACCGGAAGCATTGCATGCCATTGGAACAACGCTTTGGGGCCACACCCTCCAGAAGAGAGTTCTTTGGATAAGAGCTGGGCCCAGATCAAGGCTGACTCATCACCTTCAATTCACTACGTTGCTTTAGTCAGCGCTACTCTGCTGCTGTCTCTTCACACTGTTGCCTGGGTTGGCCTCCTCCTCCTCACTGACCTGGCACCATGGGTCTAACCTGCCACCTTTTGGAATTATGTCAAGTGGGTCAGCCACCTTGGGTTCCACATTTACCTGAATGTTGATACGCTGCCATCCATCCAAGTGTAAAGGTCCTGGCAGGCTGTGCTGTTGCTTTGCTTCTCCTCACGCCTCCGGAGCCCAATCCAGAAATCGCCATCAGACGCCAGGAGGTTTTCAATGAACTTTTCTATCAGCCTCTGTTCATCTTCAGACTCAATGCTGACTAGCTGGCCCCCATCCCTCCGGCAGGCTGCTCTGGCTTCCTCAAAGTTCAGTCTTCGAGAAACATCATGGAAGTAAAGGACTTTGTAACAAGGTCTCTGTGTTCCTCCCCGGCAGACCGGCTGGCCTAGAAAAAAAAAATTCCATCCATGTCAGTGAACCCAAAGTACACTATTAGAGCAGGGACTTGGAGGCATGTGAACGAAGCTGTCCCTAGGGCAGGCTTTCTGATGACTCATCAGGGGACTGTTGTAAGATCAGTTAGGGTTCTGAGAAAAGTTAATAGCCTGCCCGCAGGAGCTGTGGTGACTTGGACTATATCACGTAGGGACTCCATGCTTTGTTTGTCCCATCGCAGCTTCCTGAACAGCAGATTTTTGGCTTTCCTCTAAAAGAGGCAGATGAAAGCGTATGGTGTCACGTAAAGGCACACAGATCACTTTCATGCTATTAGGGAGTCTCAGGGGATAATGTGGCTCTTTTATATTTTTTATTTTTACTTTTTCTTACTTCTTTAGTGTGGCTTCAAGTGAGTTATCTGTTTGGTACTTCCTTCAGGGAAGAGAGGCATGCTGAAATTGGGTGTGGACTTCTCTACCCTGGAGCCCTCTGCCCATGTGGCAGGACTCAGAATTCACCCATTCTGTGCGCCGTTCTGCTACTGATCTTGCCTAAGCTCAACTAAGTTTAACTGAACTCTCACTATGTGCCCTGAACTATGCTAAGGGTTTTTTTTTTGTGTGTGTGTGTGTGGGGGGGTTTACATTTACATACATCATTTATCTCATTGAACTCCCATAGTAAGTCCCTGATGTAGATACTGCTTATGCCCCATCTTACAGATGAGAAAACCGAGGCTTAGATAAAGTAAAGAATTTGGCTAAGGCCACATAGCTATCAGCAGCATTGCCTAAGTCAGAGCCCTAATTATAAAGTCATGCCAGTAACCAGTGAACTGTATTACCCACTCCCCATCCCACAGTCAGGCATGTTCCAACTGACTGACAGCTGAAGGGCAGAAAACCATCTGAGACAAGTAGATGGGATTCTACTGAGGAGCAAATAACGAATTGTTCACCAGTACACACCGCTCTAGCTTGGGTCCCGGTGCCTGGAGCCTTGCTACCCCTGAAACATGAGCCTCATTACTCCTCTGTTTAATCATCATGCCCTGAGTGTACTGGCTATGCCTAGCACTGTGGTAAGTGCTGGGAATATGGAAACAGATGCCAGGTACCAGCCCATGGGAGCAGACAGCATCTGTTTCTGGATCCAGAGTACAAGGGGAATCCCTTTCAGCGAAGAGCCAGATCCTGGGCTGTGGGTGTGACTTGTTGCATAAAGCCAGGGATAACGGATTTTGGTTTGCAAGCCTCTTCCCAGCCCTCATGGAATGTTCTCACTTTCCTAACTTATTCTGCAGCTGTGCTGGGAGCCAGACAGCCTTCATTATCCTCCATCATAAGAATACAGGGCTACACGGGACCAGCGCACATACGGACAAATCCGGAAGGCTGTGATTTCTTATTTCCTATTTCTTCTTTCATTGCTTTGGTAGAGAAAGTCTCAATAAGCAGCCAGTTATGAAGAGTTTTGTACCTTCTTTCTTTAGGTGTCATTCTGCTATTGCTAAATAAACCTTAATAGGGCTGTTGTCCCGAGCAAACTAAGCTTCTTTCCGATCTCCAAGCGCGTATTCCGAGCTCTGGACTCAGCCATCCCGCCCCCTCGCCTCGGGCAAACTAAGCTTAGTCCCGAGCAAACTAAGCTTCTTTCCGATCTCCAAGCGCGTATTCCGAGCGCTGGACTCAGCCATCCCGCCCCCTCCCCCCAAAAGACCAGGAGTAACAGGCTAGGTTCCCGGGGCACAGCCGATCCAGAGAAATAGGAGGCCTCAAAAGTGGTACTTCACCAAAAAGGTATTCCAGAGAAACTGGGAACACTGGCCGGAGAGGCTGTGGCTGGGCTGCTGCCTGGGAGAAGACTGGGCCCCACTCAGCTTCAAGGAGTCCTTAGAGGTGGCTCCAAATGAGCAAAAGACAAATGCATGAGCCCTAGGCCCCCCACTCCACCCCCCACACCCCAACTGGTCATCAGCAAAACAGAAGCTGGAGTTGATTTACTGGTAGTGCCCGCTGAACACTGTTGGATGATCAAGGGAAAACGTCACACCCTGAAGAAGTTCCCCATGTGGTCCAGCCAGGCCACACCTCCCAAGTCAGCAG